TCTGTCATTTTATCATAATTTCACCTATCAGCCATGCCTAACAGATGTATGTCTTGCAGTCCAATGAACCTCAGGAGCCAGGCTCAAGTCATACAGTTCTTGGATGAGGGGAATAGGAATGGCAATGAAGACAATGAAGATGAAAATGAAGATACAGACAAGGAACAAGAACAAGCATGTCTCAAGAAGGACAACAACACCCATCAGCTAAAGCTCAAAGCACTGAATTTCAATTCACCAGGCAGCAATGAAGACAGGAAAGTCCAAGTCTCTTCACAGTGTATCATCAACTAATAGCCATTTAAATCTTGAACATTTGCTGGGCAATAAGTTCCTTTGACTCCATGTCAATGCTTTAGCTGTGAAACAATGCTTGAGAAATTGTCTGCAACAGCACTATTTGAACTAGATAGTTTAGAGTGAGCATATCATAAGACAACAACCAATAGTAAGTGGCTGAGCCAACTTTTTGAAAAAATGGGGACTCATCACTTCAGTCACCCATTTTTGGGTACCTGTGAGGTTATCCAATTCTTTGAATTAGGGAACCTTAGTGGTACCCCATTCCAGAGTGGTATGACCCTCATACCAATTCCATCATACCATGGTATGGATGCCACATACCATTCCACCTCATACCATACCATACCATACCATTCCATACCATTCCATACCATACCATACCATCATTCCATAGCTGTCACAGGGTGTCTGGGGTCCTTTTTACAAAATATGAAAATTATTTCTCCAGGCTGTAATACTGATCCATTGGGCTCCATTTTTTGTGGACTGGTTCTTCAGATTTCTTCTGACATTTTAAGCTACAAGTGGAGGCTATAGGGTGAACTTGATCTTTTGAAAATTCACTTGAAAATTAGCTTGATTGGGCTTTATCCCAGGGTTTGGCCATTTTCACTGTGGATAATCCATCACAAGCCACTTAAAAGTGTATATCTTGCCAGGCCATTTATATTCATGACAAATAAATTAATGTTGTATCCATCACAATGGCATGGCCTCTGAAGGAAAACAAGAATTTTGCAAGACTTTATTTATTGCAAAGGCATGAACTTTAGCCAAATTACTACCCAAGGCAAGGATGCCTTCTTCAGATAGAATATGTTCAAAATTTGCCATTTCTGAAAAAGTACGGGGTCATTCCATAGGAATGGGATCATCAAAAAACTTGGATTTGGATCTCCTCATATCTGCCAC